TTCAATTTTAGGATTTTTTTGTGTCGAAACTATTCATTATTGATCAAAACGGCGTACATGTCCCTATTCCAACATTTGATTCACTATCTACTGGAATTCAATTGGAAAAAAAACAGGGTGCTTCAGGATTCAGAATTATGATCACCCTGTATCTGTTCCAATTAAATGTCAGTAGATAGTGGATATGAAGTTGATATAGGGACATGTAAATCCTTTTGACCGATAATGAATAGTTTCGACAAAAAAGATCCTAAAGTTGAAAAATCTCGATTTTGAACATCCTATATCTCTGTACTCTTTTTGATAGACCCCAAGTGTAATACATCCGGAAGAATCCCAAAAAGCGATATAATACAGGGTGTTCTATTCGAAATATCAATGTTGCTACTATTTTCTGGGAGTAGAAGCAACACTGCATTATCGAAAATATTTCAAATAAAGAGGGCGTATTCTGAAATATACACGGAAAAAAGGATTTGTTGCATCAACAAATTATTTATGTTTGAATTATTTTTGTTGGACTAAGCAATTTTTAGTTGAATCAACCAGATACATGATTATTTCATGGAAGCAGCTTGTTCAAATCAAGAATGTAGTCTAATTCAATCAACAGTATAATATCAATTCCATCAACAAAATATATGGTTTTATCAAAAACAAATTATGCTGATCCAAAATAATGTCGATGTTGATTCAATTATAAACACTTTGTTGATTTGATCAAATAATGATCATTTTGATGGGAATATATGTTTGGAACAACATACAAATTTTCTCATTCCGATGTAGCAATGGACTTGTTTCGAACGGATCATCTGCTTGAATAGAGCAACGAAATATGTAATATCAATGAGATATTTTGTTCATTTTATATCAACTTACATTTTCGCCTCTAGATGGCGATCATTTCGCCTCGTCTATGCCTGCCTCGAATTCATTATATACGTGAAGCCTGATTCTTCGTGTTTGAAATATCAATAACTAGATAAATCGAACTTTGGGTGATTAGCAATCCCAAATAATTTTCCATCGGCTGAAGAGAAGTAAAGACTGATGATCTATGCTAGGAGTAGACTTGTTTACTAGTTTTGTTTATTCTATTGATGTGAAATTTCAGGAAATTCTCGAATATTGAATTTGCTTCAACAAACAATTTGTCGAATGGATATATAGATTCTCTTGAATCAACAAAATATTTCATTGAATTGATCAAATATTTCATTGAATCAAACAAATATTTCATTGAATCAACCAAATATTTCTTAGAATCAACCAAATATTTAGTTGAATCAACTAAATATTTGATTGAAGCAATATCTTATTATTTTGAATCAAACAAAATGATTGTTTAAGCCAATTCAATATCTCTTCAAAACCATTCATGGATGTGCTTGATTGAAGAAGATCCAGAGTTCATGCAAGACATATTTACTTGATTCAAACGTCAAATTCGCTCTGAAACAAGATATAGATTTACTCATTTGAAGATTATATTTTGTCATGTATATATGACACTTTTATTTGCTCCATTCAATTAAATTTTGCTTGATTCAACAATTCCTTTTTTTCCGTGTAAGCATGCACATTTTCATGGATTTCTCCCGACTGATTCTTGATATAAAGATAGTGTTTGTATGTCTGTCTTCATCCTCCTCGAATGAAGGGTGGGTATAAATAAAAAGAACAGATTTCTCGTTTTCGAAATGGTAAATTAAATATCACTTTCGAAAGGACGAAGGATAATATCATAAAGCCATGCGTGGGCGTTATGGAATTCCTTTCATTTCCAGATCGACGCGGAACAGTTCGTTAGCGTGGGTTGAAAATACATTGTAGAACCAAAAATGGATTTTCCATTGAAAGCGAAACTCAGGCGTAAGCTCATTAAATGTTTGGTGGGGTATTTTCTCGAGTGGAAAATCTGGTGACGCAAGCTTTGTTGGTTTGAAGGGAAAATAAATGTCTGCTGACGTTCGGTGTTATCCCCATCCCTTCCCTTCCCTATCCCTGCTAATATTATCAATAATGTGAATGTGAGTTTGTCTTGGCATCCACATTTCAATGCACTCTGTACTAAATTGAAAAAGTGTTCAAAAAGTTTTGCTATTTCATTAGATTTATGTTCAATCATTGTAGTGTAAATGTATTGAAAACATTGAATCACGCCAATTTTCATTCCCATATTCGATATGGCATTCTGAATTGGGGCAGTCGTGGTTATTCCTAATTCCCGTTTCCAACATGAAAATTAGGGGTCAGAACTTCTTGAAAATTTCAAGATCTTGTCAGGATCTGGTCTTGATCTCAAGACAAGATCAATACAAGAAGTAATTTTAGATTTCAAGACAAGACAAGGAATTTCATGTCAATTACAAGATTTCTTGTCAAGAAAACGAGAAATCTTGGAATTTCTTGACTAAGAATGAAAACCCTGAAACGTGCGTTCATCACTCATGATAAAATGACAGAAAATATCAATATAATGTACTTTTTTAAATACTGTCTGTAGGTTAATCGAGGAGGTGGTACATTCATTATTCCAAATTTTTTGGGATTTTCTCTCCTCGTTTCTATAAAAAAAAAATATGAATATTATTTCAATATACGTGTAGTAAGGACAGATCAGATGATTTGCCCCAAAATGTCACTGCGTTTAAAGAATTTTCCTATCAGAGAGCCTAAAAGAAACATTCACTAGCTTGTCAGTGACAATTTGTATTGAAAAAATTTTGGAGAAGAGAAATAAAGGTATATAGAAAAAATATCAAATTTTCACTTATCTTTGGACGTTTCGGGACCGATTCTGCTCCCGTTTTCAACATGAAAAGAGATTATTTCAATAGCGAAGTCGTATAATATGTCTTGAAGCTTTTCAGTTTTCAATGACAATTGGTGACGTTGGCAATCAAATGAGTTACAGGATGTTTTCATTAATTAATCTTGAATTTACCATTTTCATGTTCAGATTTTAGTATTGAATACCATGTTCTGTCTATATCAACTGAACAAGAAGCAATGCTATTGTCTCCGTTCAGAAGAATGCAAGCAGATTCCTTAATTTTTCTCTTCTGGATGTTATCTTCTTTTCCAATGATTTTAATATTATTCCACTCTGCCATATGTTGTCCGTCTTCAGTAAGGATATGTTCAGCTAGTTTCGATTTATCGATGTTTCTTCTCTTCATATTGAAATTATATTCATATATTTATTTTATAGAAACGAGGAGAGAAAATCCCAAAAAATTTGGAATAATAATGTACTTTTTACCACCACTTCACAAACTAGCATCATTGCAACTGAAACAAAAACAAAGAACGGAAAACCACCAGATTGCCGTGTCAGCACGCGACAGGGTTGCCAGTTCTACTGAAACATTCATAATTCACTGAAAAAAATTATGAGACTTGTTTATTATTATAATCCCCTATCATTATTGATCTTTATTCGATCTCATATAGACTCATAATATCTTGTGTGATATTTGGGCATGCTCTGTAAATGAATTTTATTGATTATAAATTCGAATGCGTCTAAGCGCTTCATATGTTGGTGAAAAATTACTCAGTTTTTTCGCATGAAAAGTGACATTTTGTTACCCATCAACATAGATAAAATGTCAAACTTTCTTCGCGTCACGGAAAAATACATGTTTCTTGACGTCATAGGTTAATTCAATCATCCTGGAATTTGTACAGCATGAAATGAATCTACTGAAATGTAATGAATTTCTGACAAGGTGTAGTCAAGTCAAAACAAGAAATGATATGTCAAAAAAAAACGTAAAGACACGATTTTTCGAAATTCCTTGACCCTTTCTCAAGACAAGACGAGAAGTTGTTATCAAGACAAGAATTCTTGTCTTGGCGAGAACTAATGAAAATGGAAAACATTTGTCTCGCAAATCCGTCAGGTAGATTCGTTCCCGAAAATTCCATCAAAGATTAGTGAAAATCTGATATTTTATCAATATACCTATTATATATCACTTCTCCTAACCTTTTTCAATACAAATTGTCACTGATACAAGATAATGAATTTTCATTTCAGGCATTTTAATAGCTACATGTTTAAACCCAGTGACATCTTGGGGCAACCATACATATTGAAATAATACTCATATTTCCATAATATAGAAACGAGGAGAGAAAATCACAAAAAATCTAGAATAATAAACTTACCACGTCCTGGATTAGCCCACAGAAATTTGAAATTTGAAATGATTGTGATCATAATAAAGAATCGCATCAAGTATTACAGTTCTGCATGCCTCTTTAAAGCAGTCACAAATGCGTTTCGACATACGATCTCCTCCGTATTCAAGATGCAAGCGTGCAACCATTGTGTTCGAAAACGATGTCCTGACTTTCCTATTCTCAGTTCACGATATTCTGGCAGACGGTTTGTTTAATTAAAAAGATGCACAAGGCTAAATTCTCACATTCTTCCATGGCCCAAGAGATCATGCTATTCAAAGTGACAGTTTCTCTTTTTTAACATTAAATTTGGGCCAATAAAATTTTGGACCCCACTTCAACTCCCACAAATCTGGGTTTACATCTTTACTGAAGCAAGAAGGAAATGAAGTGTGTGAAAAGACAGGGAAAAGCCGATTTTCAGAAGAATTGATCCGTTATTTCAGTCACAATCTCAGATAATATTTTTTTTTAGCAATCCCACAGTGGCTGTAGCTCGAAGGGGATTGCTTCTTAGGACACAAATGTATATGAAGAAAAAGTCTTTCGACTCCAACAATATGCCCTTGGAATACTCACATCGATTTTTTAATCACTCTGTATATGTGGAATGAGACTATACTACCTCCTTCAATTATTCATTAAATAACGAATTTGGTGAAACTTGATAGCTACACATCCTTTTATATTATTATCTCAATTAATAGTTTCCGATTGACATAAAGATTTAGCTATGGCTATAGAAAGAATTTCTGAATATTTGCATAAAAAAAATATATTCTAGCGATATGTTATTTTGTTTGCAGAGTCCCGCCACTCATCATCAGAAAGACGTTATATCTTCGAAACCCAGTCAACATTTAGTGAAAGTATCTTCCCGAAATGGACCATTGACTTCCAAAGCATCGCTCACATATTTGAAGGTATCTGATATTCTTACTATCTTACTGTACATATTTATCAAGGAACAAAGTTCAATAAAAAACTACAGAAACTCAATTTACTACAAAATGACCATATTCAATCAACAATAATTATTCGAAAGCCTGTCATTCAGCCAATTAGTTGACTCTGAAGATAATTTCGTGTTAGTTATTCTGTCGTATTATGTGAATGTATCATTTTTGCATACCTACTCACTATTTCAAACAAGGTGATTGATTTTGATTTCTTTATGTTGCATATAGATTCCGAAATCATACTATCTTTATATTTATCATCTACTATTTTGTATCTCGGAAAGCCTGATGTTAGGTACGTACACATACTTTACAGTACTTACTTTGAATTGTATATGGTCGAATGTGGTCGAATATTGTATAACAACCCTGACAGTATAATATGCTGTGCATTCATATTATTATTATAGATATCTGCCTGTATGCTCCACACAGATTACTTATATGCCATTTTATAAAAATCAGTATATCAAAATATCTCCTTCTCAATAATATATTATCAATATGATAGATATTTTTTTCAATCTTCCCCATATGAAGTTACACATAACGAACCAAAGAAATGATGCTTACACATATGCGCATTTTGTTCTCATAATGAAAGTTTAAAACAAGAATAGATTTTCAATATCCTCAGTTTGTTAACATTTTCTTCCATCAGTTGGCATTGAATTTATCAAATAAAAAATGGTCTTATTCGAAAATCTCAAATTGATTCATTTTGATTTATAAGTACAACGAGGTATTGCTTGGACAGATATATTTAAATACTTGCAGAGCAGATTTTATCAAAGAATCCTACAAAGTTTAGTTTAGCTAGCTATATGTATAGGTAATCTCTCCAATACCTACTCTTTCAAATCCGTTTACTCTCATCTGTTGAAACAATCCCTTTTTTTTCAGTCTGTACAAACAACCAAAGACTTTTCTTCGGACTATGGGTCCCATATACATCAAACAAGTACTTCATCTAGCAAACTATTGAGTACATCTTGTCACAACGGAATCTCGAGAACCTCTTCCATCATCAAAGACGTAAGTTGATAGTTCTTAATCGATATTCTCTATGCTGTCTCAGTATTTGAGTTGCATCATGATAATTATAGTCAAAAGCTGAGATCTAAAAATAGTCGCTCCAATAATTGTCAGCAAGAGCGTGACGGTACTGTTTACGGCCCATCAGGTCACATCAGTCGCTCTTGGCCAACACTAGTGGAACACTAAACATCTCATTTCGGAACAATTTTGGCAGTATTGATACACTGGCAGCAAAACATTAACCTATTATCTTTCTATTTTCGATGTTTTCTTTTTTTTTGGATTTTCCTTCACTACCGTTGAAATTATGGATGAAGTAATTAATCATATTATCCGATAGTGATTCTGATTCATTCATGAGAAACACCAAGCCCTAGTACCTCTAGTAGTTCCATAGATGAAGAAATGGAGCATAGCTGTGAAATATTTGATATCAAAGGTGGAAATAACATATCATATCTTATAGATTAGTGGCAGTTTAAGCGTCTACTAGCATTTCCTGCCTCTGTGAGATTTTCCAGTTCGAATTCAAACATTTTCTCAAAGTATTTGAAAATACCTAACCTCTCAAACGCCCAACCTACCATTTCATGAATACTGGCACTACATCACGATTTCTGCACCTTTGGCGAACAGCATACTTCTTGCCTCTAAAACAGGTTCATTGTAATGACCCGCGAAAACGTTGCCAGTTTATTATTTTAGTAAAATCGGAACGATAAAATATACTGGGCAGGACTGTTCGGGAATATCAGAACATGCTTACTATATCTTCGATCTGATTCATTATAGATGGCGATAATATAAGAAGCTCTCTGTGTATTAAGTTTCGGTGATAATAATATATTCGTGTCAGTATTGAATGGTATCGATTCGGATGTCATAATTTTTCTTGTCCTATGATTATTCCAGGAATATGATTGTGAATAATCATTAAGCAGTGTCATTTGGGAATCGAGGGGCCCATTGGGCCTTGTTCACATATATCTATACATTTTTTGTATTTGAAGATATTTTTTGGTAAAATGATGGATTGAACAATGACAAACTTCCATCCATTCCTGGTTGTGTTGGTCTCTTGCTTGAAACGATGCTATCTTGTTCAATCTGCTATCATAACGATTGGTTTGATCATTTTACTTTCTTATTTTTCATGTTCTGGTTCCCACGGAGAGGGATATCCTGTAATGTTCAGAGAACATCGTGAGGACCAAGGGCAATGGAGTAGAAATTGGTGTTCTTCCTAAATATGTGGAGGTTATATGCCTCTGGGGACACCTCCCTTGGAAATGTGTTCCAGAGCTTCGCTGTTCGTTGGATGAACGAGTCTTTGGAAAGAGATGTTCTGCAGGTCTCCAAAGTGACCACGAAGGGGTGCGAAGCCTCAACTCGACGGGTTAATCTCGTGGGGACTGCCACGGAAGGAACAATTGTTGATATTTCAGAAGAGCATCGTCCATGAAAATATCTATAAAATAGAGCCAGATTGCCAACTTTTCTACGCTTACAGAAATGTGAGTGAGTCTGTGAGCGAGACATCACCCACGAGACGAATTGCCCTTTTTTTGGACAGAATCCAACAGTTTCAGGGTATGTTTGGGTGCTGCACTCCAAATATGGAAACAGTATTTCAGGACAGGTCGGATCTGTGCCTTATAGATCGTAAGCAGCTGACTAGAAGTCAAATAGCTCCTGACCCGAAACAGAAAACCAAGTTTTTGGGATGCACTTTTAGCAATTGATCTCATGTCATTTTCCCAAGAAAGATTATTGCTGATAGTAATATCAAGCATGGAAATGAATGTCTTCAAAGGTATGGTTACTCCTGACAAGCTCATGTTGGGCTTAGTGAGATCGGCTTTACTAGAGAAAAGGCATGCTTGTGTTTTGTTTGCATTGAAATCTCCCAAGGTACTATCATCCGCGAAGCTGTGTACTGGACATGAAGTTGCTTCCAACAAATCGTTGATATGGAGTAGAAATATTGTTGGTGCTAAAATTGATCCTTGCGGAACACCAGCATTTATTATAAGAGAGGCAGATGAAACTCCGTCGACCCCTACATGGAGAGACCTGTTTGAGAAAAAACTAGCTAACAGAGAACATAGCTGGGAGGGGAAGCCATGGGATGGAAGCTTGGCGAGGAGTCCATGTTGCCAGACTCGATCGAATGCCTTGGAGATAGCAGGTTCCACGGCTAAGGTTTCACCATATTTTTCAATAGATTGCTGCCGAGCAGGCCAACAGTTGATCTCTGATGACGGAAACCATATTGCCTATCGTTGTAGTTGCTAGGTAGGGTCTTTTTGCCTTTTTTCAGGAACTGGTTGTATACTCTTGCAATTTTCCAGTTGGACGGAAACATATCCAATTTGTAAAAGTGGTTGAACAACTTGCAGAGAACAAATGTTAGTTTGGGAGCACATTTCTTGGGAACAATCGGTGGGATTCCGTCGGAGCTTCCTTGATTAGAGGAGGAAACGAACTGCAAGTGGAGTTTCTTCCTACAGCTTTGGCGAAAGACCAAAATGAACGGGATCCGTTAGGATATTCAACAAGTTTTGATCTTATTTTGGCATTATGAGCATCCTTTGATGATCGAATTGTCTCATTGCATATGCCTCTAACCTCGACATATTCTGCTCTAGTCTCAGGGCCTGGATTTTTCTTCCATCGATTGAATGCTACCTGTTTGGAATCAACAGCTTTAGAGCAGTTTCTACTGATCCACGCCTCATCGGGAGATGTTCAACTTGCAGTGTTCGGTATTTTATCCCCAACATAATGATTTCAGAAAAAACATACGAAGACCTTCCCAGTAGGCTGATTTGTAATGCCACATGAGACGGGTAAGAATTGTGGTGCTGGATGGTACATGGAAAGAGTAGGTTGTGGAGATGAGGGTGTATGTAGTCAGAGTTTCCAAGTGGGGCACAAACTTTCATTCTATATGGATAAGGATTATTGCTTGTGGGAAAAGATCTAGTGTATTGGCAGACTGGTTGTTGACATCTGGAATGCGGGTTGGTAGTTGGACTAGTTGTTCTAGAAGTTCTGGACCATGAGTGATGGCGAAGGCCTCAGTTTGACGACCTGCATCTTCTGTTTTGTTAGAGAATTCGAGCTAGGCTGCGTTATGTACATGAAGTCTCCCATATGATTATGATTTCAGCTGTTGGATGGTTCTCCTATCAAAGTAGCAAAATACAATTTTCACAAAAATCTATTTCTCCTTCATATCAATCCGTTTGGTCTCCTAATCACGCCACTTGCATAAAGTGTCGAAACCACAGATTAGTGATTCACACGAGACCAACGAGACAAGACTTTCATTAAGTCTCGTCTCGTCTCGCCGATGAAATATGAAGTCTCGTCTCGAGTCTCGTCTCGCAGCCCCGAGTCTCGTCTTGTCTCGCGTCTCGTACGAGAGTCTCGCAAGGTATCGCAATTTCGTCATGCATAATCTTGTTCCAGTCTAGTACAGGGTATTTACCTTCACCTACTTTTTAGGAATAATGTAGAAGTAGGAAGAGAAAATTACAACAAAAATAACATTATTCATTGAAAAGTAAGTACCTAATAGGTATAAACTTACATCATACATTTATATATTCGAAAGTTATAAAAATATAATAAAAAGTAACACTTACATTCTAAACAAATAAACAAAACAAAAACTTTAATCCAACATTATTTTATTTCTTTGAGGAATAGTTATCCAAGAAAATAGTTATTTGTTTTACGAGGCAAAAAAGTAGTGAATCTACATTTGCTCCGGTGTGAAACATAGAATTCTTTCTCCAAATGATATAAAACCAATTTTGTGTAATTTTTTTACCGAAAACTCCATCATTTTTTGTTCACCCAATGTCATGTCAGTGTCAATTTTGATTACTAATTTCATTAGAATTTCTTGGAACGTTGCAATGCAACAAACTTTTTCTGCGTAGGCAGTAAAAGTACACCTTTTCTGCCTGCTAAGCAGTAGGAAAAAGCCACTATCCCTGCCGCTTGGAGAAAAAAACCATCATCAGTCAGATCAGCCTCCACGATCGCAAATGTTTTTGTTTTTCACAACAAACATCGTGCAGATTCATTAGATGTTTTCTCATAGAATTCTTCCTAAATATATGTTTCATTATGAATGGAATTCTCAAGTCTCCAGTCGGCACTCAGAATTATTCACCTGCGAGACTCTCGCACGAGACACGAGAAGTCTTGCACGAGACTCGAGACGAGACCAATAAAAGTCTCGTCTCGTCTTGTCCGAGTCTCGTCTCGAGTCTCGTCTCGAAAACGAGACGAGACCATGCGAGACTCTCGAAAACGAGACTCTCGCGGGCACCACTACCACAGATTCAAAATATTATATTCATTTTTTTTTGTTTCTTGCGTGCTATTGTCCACAATTTTTTTTCATTCCCAATAATTGATACCGTCATTTGAAAATGTTTCTTCCAAAAAGATAATCAATGGATACAAGATCGATTTTATTGGAAACCACATGACTCATAAATATATGGTTCTCCTACAGTTGAATTGAGGAAGGAAATGATGAAAGTGACTTAAAAAATTAGTGATATAAAAACGAAAATGATTTGCATATATTTTGCCGATAACCCACTTCAAACAGGTTTTTACACTTTTATTGCCTCAAAAATGTGGACCAGTAATATTTTGCTCGATTGAAAAAACATAAAATCCGTCATCAATGTGCGATTCATTATTTTAAGCAAAAGCGAAAAGTTTTATTGGATTCTCTATTCCGAGGATGATATTATTTCAGTGTAGCGAAAAGCGTTCAAGTTATCTATCGCAATAAAATTTCGTAGAGGTTGTGGCAATAAGTGTTCAACATCAATTACATCAGGATCAGACCATTTTTTGTATCTACGAAAAACTAACGGAGAAATAGACACACCTAAAAAATTCTTGTGATAGTTCAGCCATTGAATATTTTCTGATGAATGTAAAAAGTTTACGTACTCTACGTGACA